AGAGAGAGAGAGATACAGAGAGACAGAGAGACAGCCAGAGAGAGGGTGGTTGCCGGGCTGTCGAACCTTACACCAACACACGGTATCCCGATGTCCGCTGCCTCACAGCGGCTAGCATAATGGCACTAATGCAATTCATTAGCGGCCAATCTCGACCTGGCGCAGGGCCCCAATGTCTTGGGAGCCCGGGTATTATTTCGAAGGCTAAATATAGACGCTCCTCTAATGCGGGGCAGTGATTCAGGAAGAAAGCTGCGAACAGGGGAGAGAAGGGGCCCTCGACGACCTTTATGTGTGCGTGTGTTCGGGGTTATGACGTGCTAATGTGGGGTGCACACTTCTGCGACTCCCTGGATCCCGATTCTGCTCGAGCTGCAGAAAGCATAGCGGGCGTGTGAAGGGTTTGCCAAATGACGGGTGGGGTGAGAAAACTTGTCAGTCAGGCTTTCCTGAGTTGGAGACAGTCCGGACTCGTAACAGGACATGGTGTGTTGTTTTTGTGTAGGTGTTTTTACGCTTCCATCAACACAATTTATATTTTACAACTTAGAAGACGGACTTCCGACCTCGCCTGTAAGGGCCAACCAGGCCTGAGAGGGATACATCCCAGCAGAAAGACCAAGGTACTCGATACAAGTTTGTCATCACTCGTGTGTCCTACGTGCGGCAGTACATAAATGCCCAACTGCTACACCGCAGACACCAGTCTAGACATTGTAAATAGGAGGGGACATGTTCACAATTGTATAGGTTTTAATGCCTCTTGCAACGCAGTAAGTTTACTCAAGAAGTGGGTACTCCGAATTCAACGTCCATCTCCTATAGGGCCGAGCCAAATGGGTTGAGTCGCAAATAAGGAAAAAAGGGAAAAAAAAGAGACAAAAAAAAAGACCCAGAACAAAAACTAAAAATAGTACAGCAAAGGTACAAAAAAACGTAAAGAAAAAAACAACGTGTCAGATAAAAGTCTACTTAAGCCCTCCTTTCGGAACTAACAAGACTTGCTATGAAATACTATGAAAATCCAGGGTTATCGTCACTCCCCGAGAGACCACATGTTGGTCGCCGTGACGTCACGC